TTAAAACACAGAATAATAATAATAATGTCCTGCTGTGAGAGTTGATATGAGGGTTCAGTTTCATGCTAAAGTTAGAGCTAAACTAGTATCATTGCTTCCTTTTCTTTAGGATTCATTACAGCAGCACAAAGTTGTCTGTTTCAGGGTGGAGTTAGTTATATTTCCCACCCCTTGATTAAAGCATAATGAGCTCAGGATCCACTCCAGGCACATGGTGGCTGACCCCCATCCCGACCTGGGGGGGGCTGCTGACATTTAGTCTTCTCTGCTGACACAAATCTAAGTTCCTCAACATTTTCCAAAGACGGCTGTCGTGACTCCCAGCATAGCACCGTGTTACTTTATGTTTCTGGAGCTAATATGGCTGCCAGTGAATCTGCAAAGACCCAAGTGTAGGTTAGGTAACGGTATATATATCACTGATTATCACTGACCCTGCTCCTCGGCGGTTCCTATGCACTGTTTCTATGGCAGCACCGGTCGCACCATCATCCTCGGTGGCGGCGCTGGCTAGCTACCGCTCCGACGCGTTGAAGTGAACTTGTATAGCAAGTTTCCTTTGGTCTTTCAATGCCACCTGCTACACTTACTACACTTCCAACTTTAAATAATCCACACTTAAAACACACGCCGGGAGCGAGTTTTGCTGCCGGGTTCGCTTAGACGGTCGGCTCCTTTCACAAAACTTCTGTGTGCCGTTAGTGGAACAAATGAAACTGCCGGACAGAGAACAAAAAAAAACCCGGACTCACCTGTGATACTGCACAAAAGGTGAAATAACGCGACCCCGCCTTGCTGTCCGAGGTAACTCCGATGAGAAGGCGGTAACATTTTCAAAAGCAGCGCAGTCTCCTGCCACAGGACCCGACCGTAGGCTGCATGCCAATTTAACGGTATGTGCTGAACAGAGGAACCTCCTCAGCAACAACTCCGAACTGCATGTGGACTGTACCATCTGCTCGGCACGGAGTGGGGGGAGGGGAGGGGGCCGGGAGCTCACCTGACAATGGAAGCAAACGGCCACTTGTCGAGATCCCACAGCAACATCCCCCCCTGGAAGAATGATCCATGTGTATACACATTACGTCACCTCTGTTGATAACCCCGACATACATTGATCAATCAAATCACTTTATTCTTCTCTGGCTCTGCCGGTTGCTCACTGTAAATACATTGTTTTACCGCGGGGAGGAAGGATGTATGTTCGGTATGTTTTGTTCGACAGTGAGCAGGATATTACATTATATATTATATATAACAGATTTTAGTAAATTTAGGTGGAAAGTTGGGTCAGTTAATCATGGAGAACTTATTCATTTTTTGTGCAGATGAGGACATGATGTGAACATATAAAAAAGCAACATTTCTCTTACAAATCTCTTTTTTTCTTGTCTGCTTGGTCCAACCATAGGGTCCAACCATTGACTGTAATATAGGCCACGCCCGTTTACGCCTACATATTTTCCGCCATTTTTAATTTATGGCAAGAACAAATTTTTCTTTCACTACTTTGACTGACCCGGTAAAAAAGTTACACATTTATTTTCTGCTATCATATAACATGTTCCTCCTATAGGACAATTGTAGAAAAAAAAGGCTTAATTCTTGCTTGAGTGAGTCTTCCAACTGTAACCATACTTAGATCAAACATACCCTCATTGGCTTATTAAGAATTTTAACAGCATTTCGCCCTCAGGTGGCGCTGTAGCAACACACCTTAATGACATGTCTACTTATGGCCACATAAGACTCACAGTAGACCTTTTTTTACATTTTGATATGTAATTGCTGGAAAAGCATGCAGAAATGTAATTAATTAATAACGTCAGGGATGGCTGTCCCGTTTAGTTTTTCCAGTTCCACAGCCCTGGTACCTTGATGGTTCACCTCCTGGGACACTTTGAACTCAGTCATCGTTAATGTTATTCATCCTGGTAGGGCTCCCTAGAGATCATCACAACATTGACATCCCTGTGGAGTATAATAATGTGTCTGTAGTATTCAGGAGTTCGTGGTGGTAGATATTTCGATATGCTATCACTAAATTATCTGGTCTTCTTCTTAAAATTAGTATATGGTCTAATTTTCTCTATGGACACTTGAATTGGTGATACCCAGTTGAATTTTTAAAGGTTGTTGAGATTTTTAAACGTTTGCTTTTGGTGGACAGTCATGGCTGCGTGGGTCTGTCACACGTGGACATATGTAGTTGCTGCTCATAGCCAGTCAACAAGTTAATATCTTCGCAGATGGGGTTTGGGGGGGGGGGGGCAGCACCCCCTTCTGCTGACAGAAAGCTAACCAGGTCAGTGCTTTAATTTGAGTCTCAGTGCTGTCCTGGAGAGCCACAAGGGATACAATTACTCTGCCACCATCCCATTCTGCAACTCCATAGCGCAAACGTTTGGGAGTGTGCACACGAGCATGTATTTTCTTTAATCTACCTCGTATGAGTGCATTCAATATTCCCATTGTTCTTAAGTTCAGTCTGAAATGTTGCCTTGAGTGCAGTGCAACAACATGAAAGCTATATGTTACACTGACAAAGAATTTATGATGAGAGAGAGAGAAGTGCAGACTAAAAAACTGTGTAATTTAATTTAGGGGCTTGTTCTAAAATCATAGCCATATTATATTTTGTACAAGTCTCCCACTGACTTTTCCACCACCCCTCCTCATGGAGCGGTAGACTTTTCCATTAGGCATGATTTAGACATGATGAGCCCCACTATTATATCATGTTTTTGGTTTTTCGCTCTTTGTTTTATATTTCCCTTTTCCGTCATCTGCAGCCAGTTTTTGAAATTGAACTTCCATTTCTGTGTAATGCCTCGTGAGTATTCCTAGACGTCACCAAATCAACAAACTTAGTCAATTGTTTTGTTACCACCGGGGTTTCCAGCTAATTAATTTATGGGTAGTGGACAAAATAACATAAACAAATGTGCAATCCATTACAAAAGCTTTGAAATAAATACCGCATCTATGGCAGTACAGTGAGGTGTCCATTCAGCAATTTCTTTCTCTTTCCTATTGCTGGTGGTGTTATTGTATAGGCATTATATATATAAGTGTATAAGTCAACCCCCTGTATGTATAGCATGAGCAACAGAACAGAAACTATGACTGACTTCACTTCAGTCTCACAGACTCAACAAAACCAACACAATACTTCTTTCAAAATATTATTGTTTGCGGGCTACTGCACTGGTTTGCATTATATTGTGTCTGCATTCTTGGTATTTTATTCCCATCCACTGTGCAAAGTTTCCACAGACTTGTAAAAAAGTTGGTTTTGTCATTGTCATTATTCTCAAGTGATATTTTGATAGAACATTTTCCAATATAATAGTTGTTTTTACTTGCATGTAACCCAAAATTACCCAAGAGACATTGTTTAAACAATTTTGTCTGAAGAATTCCGTGTGGCTTTTCCCTCAGATCACATCTCAGTTCATTGGCAAACGGCAGAGATAAGCTTTCTGTCTTTCTGTACCTTCTCTTGTTCGGAAATAATTCTCTTTTCTGGATGCACTCCCTGTGAGCACCGTTTCTTTTGGAAATGCCACAACACAGTGGAAAGAGTGACACATAACCTGTGTGACCAACAGTAAAACTGCGGCTGTGCTAAAGAAACTTTAAACCATTATTAAACCAAAGCCACAGACTCCATTTTCTTGGTTGAAGATGTGAAGGATTTTTGAGATCATGATAACAACATTTCCCTCCTGCTCTTGCTTTAAACTAAAGCTGCTCTCTGTCACCAGGTACTTTGTCTCTCTGGAATGTTTTTCAACCCTTCAAGTGCTCTTTCATGAAGGCCAGAGAGGTACTGAGAGGGCTTCAGGATTGTGGCGGAGTAAAGATCGGTTAAATTAGTCCACCTCCCGCTCAGACGCTTCTTTTATTCTGCGGTCAGCACCTCCCTCCCTGTTTACCCACATAAATTGGTCTCTCTCTGCTTTCTGTCTCCATCCATTCTCCTACACAAGTGTCCATCTGGACTGTGAGAAGGAGCATGGGACTGGAATTTCATCAATAATGTCACAAGTTACTGTGATAACCTCAAGTTCCCTCGGGCTATATGCTTCTATATTAAAGACTTAAAAAGGTGACACATGCTTACATATTAAAAAGTAAAAGTACACATTGTGGCAGTTACATTCACAGGCTGCACTATTGAACTATTTACAAACCAAAAGTGACATCTACTGGCTGAAAGGATGAACTCGTGCAGATTCAGACTCTACATCATGCTTTGGAAACATGTCTTTTTATCTTATAAAATCACTCTCCTCTCAGTGTCACCTTGTAATTGGTCATAATTGAATGACTTTTGTCCAATCATTATGAAACCTGTCACATATTGTATGTTTACCACATCTGAGGCAGTCAAAAGCAAAAGTAATATGTTGTATTGCACTGATATTTGTTATCTTAAAATATGTAAAGTGATGGGTATAAAATGTATTTCATCTTTCAGACACTGGAACATCACCCTTTATCTTTATATTGATAATATTGTTATTACACTCTGTGTATTAGTGTGTAATTCTGTTTTGGTCAAATAGTGCCATATTGTCTTGTTGTTGGTTTTTGTTCTTAATTATATCAAAAGAGCAGAGCGATAATAATGATTATTCACTAAAACAGTGTGTCCTACTTTGTAGTGACATTTTCATAGAATTTCCTATATAGAAAATAATTGTATAATTTTGGAAGCACATGAAATTAGATTCTAGATACACTGTGGAGTTGTCAGCATGTTTTGTATATTCACTTTTACCATACAAAAAGCTAAAATGTTCAACCTCTGATTATAATTGTATTGCGCTAGCAAAGAAATGTCAAATATTTATGAGAAAAACACAGACTATTGACTTTTCTTTTTACAGTTGTGGCTCACATTAGATGTGCATTATATTTATATTTCAGAAGCAGCAAACTGAGATTGTTCTCCATGAACCGAGCAATAATAATGTGAATGAAACCTCAACCAATTAAAGATTTCTGAGCTTTTTATTACAAAATGTTCATTATAAGATGCTTATTTTTTCCTCTAATGACACAACTTTGAAGGAACTTATGACAGTTTTTCTTTTAATTTACCATCACTGATACAACAAAACAACACAACCATCAAGTACATCATGCAAGTTTTATATTAGGATTTATGTATCAATATGTTGTCTCTCACATAAAAGATAACATAGCTTGAAACAGACAATCCTTGAGTTAATTATACATCTCATCATATTAATGTCTAATTACATGATTTAATCATTTTAAAAGGGTGATTTACTTTTAAACATGAATATTTTAAGAGATTAGCATAAAATGTACAAGTCACAGAGTTAATTAGAATTTTATGAAACATATTTAACACAACGTCATAATTTCTTACAGTGAATTATGAAATATTTATTACTGTGTACACACGTGGTTGATGTCTTATTTTTACATTAATATCACCAAAAGGATGAAACACACTTCTATTCAATATTTTTGTATACAAAATGAGGAGTAGTGATTGAAAAGATGCTGCACTTCACCACAAAAATGCATATTGAGGAGACAGTAGTGGTTTTAGTAATTCTCAGCTTACTTACTAGCTTATTTACAGCTCTGTGAGAAAATAATTGCTCTATAGTGCAGGGTGTAGCATGACCTAAAATCATTATACAGTATGTTTAATCATCTGAACAAAAAAATATTTGAACGACATTTTAATTCTGACTTGAATCTGATCAGATTTCTCATAAACCTCTTCATTTACTAAAGTAAATCACAGGAAGAAATCAAGGCTTAGGAAATGGTTTAACAGTGGTTTTGAGGCCAAAGGTAAAATAGTATTTAAAGGCACGTCTGAAGGTCTGATCTCTGAGGCCGTAAATGAGTGGGCTCAAACACTTAGGGAAAACAATAAGACCTACAAAGAGGGCATATTGAATATGAATGGCCAAAGCAGGATCTACGTTCCACATGCCACTGGAGTTGATCATATTAAACAGAGTGGAGGTGAGACACAGGCATAACTGAAGCAGATGCAATAGCACAGTCTTATGGGCCTTGCTGGCATTATGGACATTAGAAGAGGATGACTTCACAGTGATCATGGTTGCAATGTATGTAAAGATGATAATCAAACTCACTAAAACAAAATACAAAATAGTGAAGACCTTGCTTAAAATTGAATAAATTGGTAGCTGCAAGATGCTGTTTCTGGTGCAGGTCCTTGGCACAGTGAAGCTCGTGTTCTCGAGACTAATAAACAGGAAAAGCTGGGTGAACGAGTCTAATGAGGACACTGTCCACATAACAACAATGGCCACCCCCGTCTTCCTGGTGGTGGCAATATCAGCGTGCCTCAATGGGAAACATATCGCAACATACCTCTCTACAGACATCACAGCGAGGTTGAGCGGTGACATTTTAACAGTGATGGCTGCAAGTAGAGTGACAAAAATACAAACATAGCTGATCATTGTGACCATGGTCACAGCAAAAATGTACAGCAGCATCGTCACCAGCAGCTGCATAGTGTCGGTGAGGAGCAAATGACCAAACAGAATATAACGAGGGGACTCCAGGATGAGAGGCTTCCTCAGCAAGACAAACAGCATGATGCCATTTATATACAGAAAGAGAAGACATGGCAGCATAGACAACAAAGCTTTGACAGGTGACTGAAACAACATCCCCTGGGTGACTTCTGTGGTGTTATTCATGGCAGCAGATTCATGCACTGTCTGAAAAGGCATGGCACACAAACACATCCGACTGATCCTTAATCTACATTATGAATAGTCCCAAATCTGTTTGGTATTATACTGTCACAGAAGATCTTAAATAAGCATATTGGCTTAAAACAACAGATAAAAATACTAAAAAAGTATCACAACAATGTCTAAACAACAATTAGACAGCAACACAAATATTTCAGAACTAAATCTTTGAATTCATGATAAATAGATGTAACACATAACTTACTGTACATGTTACTGGTTTGGTTTGGTTTGACTTCACTATGAAGTTCATCTTAGGAATAAATCAACCTCCCACCCATCATGACCTTTTTATACGCAATCTGTGCCATGACATCATCACCACCACAACCAGTCAGAGCTCTCATGTTTTCTTTGAGATAGTTTGAGAAGTTGTGTGCCACTGGAGCAGGAAATATTTACTTTCCCCCCCCCATTCACAGTAGCATAAACATATATTGCTTCTGCGTTGTAGAAATTCAGTGGGGGTATTTCTAAATGGCCACATGTGAACAATGACCAACAATGAATGGAGAGCTCCTGTATAAACCAAAATGGATTTCAAACCATTATATTATATATATATATATATATATCCAACTACAGTATATACACTGTGCAAACAGCCTATTCAAATCTTAAACAACCTTAAACGTTCACATGTGATTTACAGCAGTACTGTAAATAGGATACCAGATGTGTTTTTGTTTGGATGTACTGAAAGGTCGAGAGAGAACATCTATGCTGTGGTCTTCTCTGAATGCTGCATGAGTAAAGGAACTTGATTCATCACACTGGGTTCAAATTTCTCCTTCACACCCCAAACAGATAGAAACAGCCAAGCGTCTTTCAAGAGTTAGGCAATTAATCAGACTTCCATAATTAAGGCAACATGAATATTTATTCTTATATACTGTATCATTTTTGTGCACTTTTGGAGTCTTTGTCTTGCACCTCATTTCCTCAGAACTCGGACTGGATTTACAGATGGGTGAAAAAGCTCCAAGTCTCTGGAACCCTCTCCATATTCCCATAAGTGTTCAATTCATTCACATCATTTTTAACTCCTCCTGTCCTAAAAGCATCTGCATTTGTCATGTTTCTCCACTAATTCATTCAGGTTTTTACTTTAATTTGTCACCTGCAGGCTTGGGGAGTAACGGATTCCATTTATTCCATTTTCTTTTCAAAGATTATATTGTTCTGTTGTGTTATAGAAAACATTTGTATCAAATATTCTCATTTCTATTTGCATAGGCCTATTTGGTTTTGAAGTTAATCCAAAAGTAACATCAAGTAATCAGGTTACATTACTCTAATATTCTGACACTTGGATTAGGTTACTGACTACATTGTTTTAACAGGTAATTAGTAATTGTATCCAAAATAATTTTTTTTAAGTAGTCTAACTTTCCCGACCCTGGTCATGAAGCTCTGGTAGCTCTGAGTAACTGGAGATACGTCCACTTGACAGAAAAGAGTAGTGAGTAGATCTTTATTTTCCAGATCCATGCATAGGCATCTCCTGCTTTCCTAGTATCATCAAGTTTTTGTAAAACAGAATCAACTCGACAAAGGTAGTTATGGTATGCTAATTATTTTTTTTTATTTTATAACACCAACATCCATTCCTTGTGAAGATATAATTTTACAGCACTTGTCATAGTTTGTCAAGTTTTTTAGTTTTTTTTTTTAGTTTCAGTTAGATCCAGAGTGAGTTTGCTTGTTTCAGTTTAAATGATGATATGTTGGCTATTTGCCGGGGGCAAGATTTAAGACATTCAGAATAGGTATTACAATAAAAACACTTTGTGTAGGCAATTGACTAATAGCTAGTAGTCATCCCTGTATCAATAATATGAACCAGTGCCTCCTCATGCTTGTTGTGATTGACATGAACTAAAACTAAAGACCTTATTTTAGATGGTTTTATAAGAAGACCATATTGTTTCAGTTGGTTTTAATTTTTTCTGAAGTCTAGTTTTTATTTTCATGTCAGCTAACTAACTAACTTTAAATACTGGCCTGAAGTCTGAGTCAGTTGCAGTGCATTTGTTAAACCCTCACTGTGATTCATATATGTTAAAAAAAACCCATAAGAATCTGGCACTCTGCATCCAGATTTTGATTGAATCATAATTTCCCTGACATACAATAATACTTGAGTCCCTGTACGATTATTAGGTTTTGGCATCTGGCGAGGCTGTGGCTAACAGTTGAGGGACTGTATAATGCCCTGTGTTGTTTTTCCATTGATTCCTAATTTAATTTAGCAGATTTAACACTGGCCTGACACTCCAGGCTCCCGATGGTCAGTTCGGGTTTGTTCAACATAATTACCTTTAGACTGCATACGGTGATATGTTTAAAACTGCATGTGAAGCAATAAAGTAATTCCTGTAATGACTCCTCTCCTCAAGCAGCCTGGTGCAGATTCAGCTGGAAATGGCTATTGCACAAATAACTGGACAGTAATTATGATGAAAATGTGTTGGTGAAATTTTTAATTTCAGTTTGCCTGCTGGTCCTGCCAGATAAAAGCTGATGTTGTAACCAAAATTGGTTTATCATCTGCAAAGTACGAACTTGTCAGACTCAGCTCTACATTGTCAGTCTTGGCATTAGATTGATCACATTAAGTTGTATACTTTGATACTGAAATGTAGGAAACTACAAAAAAAAAATCCTTTGTTAATGCTATGCTAATAGTTCTAATACACCAAAGTGATAAATTTCCATCTCCTGGGGACCATGAATGTTTATCTTAAATGTCATTACATACTGCAGTCCTTGTAGTTGAGATACATGATACAGGACTGTGCGTTCCCTAGACCGACCAAGTGTTGCTAAAAAGGTTGTATGGTTATAGTAAAATGGTAACTGTATCTGAGTCTTCTTTTATTAATAAACAAACCAGTAGCTCTTGTCTGTTATTTGTTCTGACCAGCACCTTTTACCCTTACGTCACCATGTCTGTACAGTTTTTCAGTAGCACAGTTGAGATCTCCTCCGTCTTTAAGAGGCTGGAGTTTTGTGGTTGACAGATTAGTACTGAACAAAACTTAAGTTTCCTTGTGGCAGATTTGTTTTACCGAATTAAAGATAAACAAGGTTTTAAGAACCAATGATGGATCAATTTTAACTATGAAACTGTATATTTATCTGGCTTATACACACAGTAATTCAAAAGAAACTGATACAGATAGTTACTATACAGGTAAAAAATAAAAAAATTCATTTCATTGTTGACACTGTGTGAGGTATTGATCTGTGCCACTGTAGTGGATTATATTATTTAGCAGTGTTATGTTATCCCCTGCTGTAAGTCCTGCATTTTTCTGCTTTAGCTTCATCTCATTTTCATTCTTAATGGAAAATGTATATCAACTACATGATATTAGGCCCAAAATGATGAAACCAAAGAACGTCTGTTAGGACTACCGGCGTACAACCTGTCAGCATTGTTTATAGACTGATATCTCATAATGATCTCAGTGACTGTAATCCTTTGGAGGACAGTCAGTAATAACACATTAATAATTCAAATATTTATATTGCACATCATTACAATATATTTCCAGTGTGTTGGTCCATGGAGGGACAATTAAAACTGCATTTCATTCCCTGGAGTAAACCAGGCACACAAGGAAAAACATGTCACCTTTGTCATAAAGTTTAGAAAACTACAACCTTGTTTTTGTTTGTTTTTCGAGGTCGGTTTCTGCTGCGCCCTGAATTTATGTTAACCAACTGTAGGGCAACAGGTGTGGTTTCCCTTATTTAGGATGCTTTGAAGAAATGCTTTAGACAGTGGCATGTTGCTGATATTTGAAAGCAGTGGATAGAGCTAGAATTCTGGACATAGTAACATGTAGAATATAACAAATACTACGTTTTAATCAGATGTTGACATGAAAACAAACAAAAAAAAAAGATAGAGGATCATTATTTAAAGCTAAGGGGTGAACACTTGTGGTTATTGAATGTTCATTATAACATTACTGCATTATATGAAAAAACTTTTGTTAAATAATATATATTAATATAACCCATAATGTAAGGGAATATGATTCTAATAAAGTAGTACAATAGCAAAACTGAACTATAATTGTTATATACTGAAATGTGCAGTAATGTTTAAATAAGGCCATATCTTACACTAACTTGTTTAGATTAATAAAGGTTTATTTCATAACATCAGTCAGCTGGTTGTGTGAATGAGCTTTTCCTTCATTTGTTGTTTTCAACCTCCAAGGCCCAAAAAGCAGTGACAAGTGTCATGTGTACATTGTTCAGTGGAGGAAAAAAAATCGTCAAAAAGTCTATCTTTATGGATCATATTGATGGAAAGACTGTGGCATGACGCACCTTATCTTGTGCTTCTAGAGTTATGTTTCATTATAGACAAGTAAAGCATTGTTAAAATGTCATATTTAAGGGGAGTTAAGTGCAATATATTTATTGAAAGTACAGAACACAATTTAAATCAATATATATATATATATATCTTTATATACAATTGTGCAATAAACAGATTTATAATGAAAGAAGAGCTTTATTGGTCATGATTAAAATAAAAAAAATAAAATAAAAAAAGAGAGAAATGGGAAATGAGGAAGGCCTAGGCCTTAGTTTTGCCTAAATTACCCTCTGGTGACTCCAGAGACTAGAAGAAGTGTCTACTTGAGCAGAATACTTTTAAACAGCAGTGACTGCACGTGAGCTGGGCTTCATTTTTTCCTTTGGAAACAAAAGTCCTGCTGTCCAATCACATTAAAACATTGCTTATGTCCAGTGTGTTTCTGGGAATTATAACAGGTGTTATCTGGGTGCTACAAACAGGAATTGCAGCATGACTAAGAGTATAAGGCGTTAACTACAATAAATACTAATTTGATTTCACCATACAGTTGCCACAACTACCACATTTAAAATGATCATGATGTCCTTCTAATACACATACCAAATATACAAGTACATTTATTACAGCATCCATCTTTAATCATTGTTTGAATTCAAACATTACAAACACATTAACAATGATGCAGTCACTCAAAATAAAACATTAAACAAAAGAGAGCATTACAGTTCAGAGATTTAAAAAAGAAAATACTGTAAAGGAAAGGTACAATCAAATCCCAGTGTCTTAAAATAAGAATAAGGCAAAGCTGAAAGGCAAAACATCTATATAACAAAAGCAACATAACAAAAGCATAATAATAATAATAATAATAATAATAATTTCCTTAATTTTCTGTTAAATTGTACG